TTAATAGACAGATAGATAGATAAATAGATAATATACACATGCATACACATACACTAGCAGACACACAAGAGCCTGGCATAGTAGGCACTCTCAAAATTATTTGCAGAATGAATGAATACAGATAAGTAGCATGAAGACCACTTTTTTTCAAAGAATATGGAGCTCCGCTTGGACAGGTTTCTTCTGAAGGTCCTGCATTATACCCAGATGTAAGTGCTCTGAAGTCAGATGTATCTACAAACACAAACACTGAGGTTTGGCGGTCACTCTATGTGTAGGTAACAGCGGAAGCTATGGGCACAGATGGTGGTGACTAGGGAGATTATGGAAAGGAAGAAGAGAAGAAGAAAAGACCAAATTTTTGGGAAAACAGTGTATAAAGTAGACTAAGCATAAAAAGCTGAAGAGGGACTACCAGGAAAAGGATTAGCATTGAGGCATGAGAATAGAATGCTGTGATAGTTAGAGTCTTGAGGTAAGATATGGGAGTACAGATGTGTTCAAGAAACACCTGTTTGTTGACTGAAATAAGTGCTAAACACTAAAAGAGTTTAATCCATGAAGATGGAAAAAGGAGCTGACACTTTTCCTGATAGATACAGGGACAATGTCTTTCTTATTAATCAGCACAAAACCCTGTTACACAGAACTCGGATTATGCCAAGGTGCATGTGGGCCATCCTGAGGCTGTATTTCTGATCTGAATTTATTCCCTGTGTAGAAGATTCTCAGGAGTACAGAAAAGCTCTCAATCTAGCTGGAGATTAATTGATAATATGTTAAGGGTCAGCAAGCCATAGCCCCCAGGCCAAATCTGGCGCATTGCCTGTTCCTGTAAAGTTTCACTGGAACTCAGCCACAGTTGTCCATTTCTGAACTGTCTGTGGTGGCTTTGACTCTACAACAGAGTTGAGTAGTTGTGACAGAGGACATATGGCCTACCAAATGTACAGTATTTATGGTATGGCTTTTTATAGAAAAGGTTTGGCAACCCCTGTTTGTTGCAGAATAATAAGACATTTTTTCAGAGCTAAATGGAGTGCCTAAGGACCCTGGGAATACCACAGCCTGTCTCACGGAGGATCATCCCTAGAGGAAGTAGAAGACTGGATTAATTCAGTTGTACATTCACTTTAGGTTAGGAAATACATGCTAATGGTACATATACAGGTGTTGAGAGATTTTATTTGACAGTGTATCTGTAACTTATGTCCCCTGCACATAACTTATGTCCCCTGGACATTGTGTGGCACTAAATTTAAGATGTCAGCCAGTTAAAAAAAAAGGACCTGTGTATAAAAAGAATGAGTGAAGTTGGAGTGTGAGTGATGGGGTGGGAGAATGAATAGTTGCCCTGTCGAAAGGTACAACAAAAGCATCTGAGCTTGTAGCCTGTATTTTGTGGTTGCCCTTCTGAAAAATAACAGAGGAAAGAGGAATATGCTTCTATTATTTTTCTAAGTGACAGAAAGTAAGACTGAACCTTTATGGATTTTGAAAGAAATTACATTGGTTGTACATTTTTTCCCTAAAGCTTACACACATCTGTATCAACTATAAGATTAGAATTCACAAACATCTTAAATTTGGGGACTTTCAAAGAATGAAAGCATTTAAGAGGAGAGTCTTGGTTAGGAATAAGTTGAGATGTAACATTCTTAATACTCTTGCATCTCATCATATTAAGATCTGACTTGATCATTTCTCATTGAATATATGTATAAAATTATCAGAACTTATTCCATAAATATGTACAATTAAAATAATAAAAATATTGTGGTGCACACCAAGCAATTTTAAAAGGATTATCAATGATCTTTGTTTGTATTTTATAAGAAACTGTAAGAAAAAAAGTGTTTCCAAAAATCAAATAAATAAAAATTTGAAAGCAGTACTACTGATGGATGTGAGGTGCTATCTTAGGGTGCTTTTCATTTGCACTTCTATATTAACCAATAAAAATGAATACCTATTGGTCATTTGAATACCTTCTTTTGTAAAGTTCTATATTTAAACTGGTTTGTCTGTAAGTTCTTATTGATTTGTTAAAGTTCTTAATACATTTTTGCATATGAGTCATTTGTCAGGAATACATGTTACAAGTTTCTTAAAAAGAGAGAAAGGGTGAAATTTTGTGGTTACTGTATAGTTATGGTCATTTTCTAGTTTGCTCCTTATCTTATCTTATCTTATCTTACTTTATTTTTGACAGGCAGAGTTAGACAGTGAGAGAGACAGACAGAGAGAAAGGTCATCCTTTTTCCGTTGGTTCACCCCCCTCCCCCAGTGGCTGCCACGGCTGGCGGGCTGCGCCAATTGGAAGCCAGGAGCCAGGTGCTTCCTCCTGGTCTCCCATGCGGGTGCAGGGCTCAAGCACTTGGGCCATCCTCCACTGCCTTCCTGGGCCACAGCAGAGAGCTAGACTGGAAGAGGAGCAATCGGGACAGAATCCGGCGCCCCAACTGGGATTAGAACCCGGGTTGCCAGCGCCGCAGGTGGAGGATTAGCCTAGTGAGCTGTGGCACCGGCTAGTTTGTTCTTGTGTCTTATGTTTTGAAACCCTATGTATTGGGGGATATAAAATAATATAATTAAATACAAAAAATAGACAATTTATTCATACACAAAGATTTTCATTTCTGGTGCAACTCTTCTCCCATCACAGAAGCGTAGTAAAATGACAGCTATTACTGAATCTGGCCCCCAATACTTTATTTTGAGAAAGCACAGTAGTTTTTGGGAAGATAGGACATAGTTTCTACCACTCCATACTATCTTGGCGTTAAGGGCCTGAGCTTTTCTTTCTCTCTCTCTCTCTCTTTCTTCTTTCAAGATTTATTTGTTTATTTGAAAGGCACAGTTACAAAGAGAGAAAACAAAGAGAGATTTTTCTATCCTCTGGCTTACTCCCCAAATGGCCACAACGGCCAGGGCTGTGACAGGCTGAAACCAGGAGCCAGGTGCTAGGAGCTTCTTCCAGGTCTCCCACGTGGGTATGGGGTCCCAAGCACTTCGGACATTTTCTGTTATGTTCCCAGGCACATTAGCAGGAAGCTGGATCAGAAGTGGAGCAGCTGGGTCTTGAACCAGCGCCCTTATGGGTACTCTACAGTATTGGCTCCAAGGCCTGAGTTTTTCTCAATCCCTCCCAGTGTAGCTCTACATCTCTATTCACAAGCTTTTATTTATTCATTTGTCAACTGCTGTTTTGATGTATTTGCTTGGATTGGGTCTGACATTAAATGGCCTCTTTCAACTTTCTAGCTTTTTTGGTTTTCAAAAAATATTTTTTTTTTCTTTTCTGGAGAGGCTGTAAATTTTTTTTTATTTTTTATTTTTATTTTTTGGACAGGCAGAGTGGACAGTGAGAGAGAGAGAGAGACAGAGAGAAAGGTCTTCCTTTGCTGTTGGTTCACCCTCCAATGGCTGCCAGCGCACTGTGCCAGTGCTGCAGGCGGAGGATTAGCCTATTGAGCTGAGGCGCCGGCCCGAGGCTGAAATTTAATTTTAAGAAGTCCAGGAAAATTTTAGGACCTGAGAGTGGGGGTTGGTGAGGGAAGTAGATGCTGGGTGAAAATTGATAATTGAGCTTTATGACTGAAGTAGAGCAATTCAAAAGAGAGAGAGAGGAAAGAATGGATAGAGGGGAGGAATTAATGTGATTACTACTGCAAGATGCCTATGCTTAGAGTGCATCTATGTGTTGAAGGCATCAAATGTGCTTGAGAATGTGCACATATTTGCCCATTTTAATATTTAAAGAAAAACAATTCTAACCAAAGGAATAAACTTTTTCTTTGAAACTTGAAATAACAAATACAAATAAAGGTTGCAAAACATACTTTGGAGTGTCCTACCAGATCAAGATTCTACTTCACAAACCTTCCCTTTTCTCCTGTTATGAAAACAATCTTGCAAATTCCAAACCACAATACTTTAATTAAAGGATCTCAGGCGGCAATCATGGGATATTTCTCACAACAGATGAAGAACACAAATATTCTGAAGACCAAAAACTATATCAATAAAAATGAAGAGGCATTCTGGCCAATTTCTGGCCGTGCAAAGTCAGAGGGAATACAGATGGATGTGCTGTCAGTAAAATTATACTATTAACCATCTGAAGATTGGGCTTATTACATAAGAAGGCAAAGCATCAATTTGCAGAACTATAACATTCTGTTTGTGCTGCTGAACACATGTTTGGATATTTTAATATGCTCTCTACTCATTTGTGTGCATAAAAGCACTTCTTCATCAGCCTTTTGATGGAAGCTTAATTTTCTATTGTTTCTATTAGATTGTTTTCTCTAATGAGAATGATATTCTGCCTTAAAAATAAACACTCCATTTGTTCTCCAAATAATTCTAGATTCAGGTTCTTTTTTTTCTTCTTCTCATTATCAAATGGCATATACAGGGTTATATTTAAGATAAATCTTAAAACTAAGGCACTCTGATGAAAAAATATATACATTTGAATGACATGTAAGGAAAACATTCATTCAGTCACTCATTCATTCAGTCTTTTAATGTCCATGTATTAGGCTAAGCACAATGAGGAAGTCAAGGCTGTTGAACTATGAAGATTCTTAGAACATAGACGGTCACTGTTAATCTTTCAGACAGGAACAAACATGGGGCATAAAATGTCAGGAAAGACAGGTGAGTGTAGCCCTTTATTCTATAAATCTTCTTGACCATTTGCTAAGCTACTATGTGACAGGCACTGCTGTAGACACTGGGTCTACAGAAATGAACAAGACATCAAAGTCCCTGACCTCATGGATCGTGCTTCCAGTGGGCAAGTTAGAAAATAATGAAGAAGAAGCAAATGAATATATCATTTCAGGCAGCCATAAATGCTGTCGCTCCTCCACGAGCGGAGGAGCGGCACCGGACTGGACGCTGTTTTTCCCTTGCTGTGGGTTTTTTCTATAGCAACGCAAGAACAGGTAAAGAGAAGACCGAAATAACGAGCTCCCCAGCGAACTCTCCAACCGACTTGCCACCAGCCCGGAGACAGTAGTTGTCCCAGAAAGTGCGGTTGAGACCCTTTTATAGTCCTCTTCCACCAATCCGTGCTCCGCTGCCCGCGTGCTGAGCACGCGGCTTTCTTCCAATCAGAGGTTGGGTCAGCTCCTGCAGCTCGTTAGTCAAATTGATGAGCAGCCGAAGCCGCTGTGAACTTGTTTACTCCCTCTCAGCGTCATGCTGTGGGAGCCGGGCCCTGCTTCCCACAAATGCTATGAAGAAAAACAAAGCAGAGAAGCACCATGGACAGCGATAGCAGGCGAGGGAGTGAGTTTTTTCGGTCTTAAAAGCCTCTGTGGAAGAGGGGACATCTGAATAGAAACTTCCTGATGAATGAAGACATAAAAGGCAAAGGGACCTACACAGAAAGCCCCTAAGGCAAAAATAAGCTTGTCTTGTTCTAGAACAAAAAGAAAGCCACCTGATAGAGTGTAGCAGAAGGAAAGAGTGACAAAGGAAGTCACAGAGGTGGGAGGGGGCCAGACCCTATGGATGTGTGTAGGCCAAGATATTTTATTCTAAGTGAGGAGGGAACCCATGAAGACTTTAAGTAGGGTAAGACATGACCTGATTTAAATTTTCGAAGGATTATTTTAGATGCTGTGTGGAAATCCAGGTGAAGAGAGTTAAATGGTGGTCTGGACAGAGATTAGGTATCTATGGATATAGCCCAGACTAGAAAGGACCCATGAGAAATTGATTCAAATAGTCTGAGGAAGACAGATTGAATCTACACACTAGTTCTGCTGGAGATGGTTGGACTGGATAAGGGCGATAGTTCCCAAGGTGGTGAGAAGTGGTTTCATTTTAGGGGGAGTTTCACAAAGGAAGTGACCTGAGTCAATCTTTAGAAGATGGACAGTGCTGTGACAAGAGGGGCATCACTCACTGACTTCCCGAGTGCCTATCTGCTTTGCAGGGCAGGGTCCTGTGCTAGATGCTAGGGCCTCTGCTGAAAGTGAGGGGAAACCTGCTGAGGAGGGAGATACAAAAATAGGGTGGTGAACAAGATGCTCATGGGAATTCACGCTAGAATTAGTTCTAGGGAGGCTTTATTCTTTTCCTTTTTTTTTTTTTTTTTTTTTTTTTTTTTTTTTTTTTTTTTTTTTTTTTTTTGACAGGCAGAGTGGACAGTGAGAGAGAGAGACAGAGAGAAAGGTCTTCCTTTGCCGTTGGTTCACCCTCCAATGGCCGCCGCGGCCGGCGCGCTGTGGCCGGCGCACCGCGCTGATCCGATGGCAGGAGCCAGGAGCCAGGTGCTTTTCCTGGTCTCCCATGGGGTGCAGGGCCCAAGCACCTGGGCCATCCTCCACTGCACTCCCTGGCCACAGCAGAGGGCTGGCCTGGAAGAGGGGCAACCGGGACAGAATCCGGCGCCCCGACCGGGACTAGAACCCGGTATGCCGGCGCCGCTAGGCGGAGGATTAGCCTAGTGAGCCACGGCGCCGGCCTATTCTTTTCCTTTTAATGTAGAAAATTAAATGATTAAACTCTTTTGTATGCCAGACTCTCCTTGAATTTGCAAAAGTATTAAATTTCTATCAGTAGAAACTCAGTTCACTGTCAGCTGGCAAACATCATCAGATTACTTACTTAGAAACACGGGTTAATATTTATCATCCTCATTCTGAGAAGGTGAAATTATAGCCTTCCCAGAAAGAAAAGAGAAAAAGAGAGTGCACGTCATAGTATCAACTCACATACCCAGGTGCAGCCATTACAGTTCACCTGCCACCCTGTTTTTAATCTTGTCTTTTCAATCTTTTCCCAACCAGATGATGCAGCTTCAATGATCTCTCCTAATCCCTCTTGTATACTGTCCCCAGAATTAACTGACATTATGGAGTCCAGTCATGTCCATTCCCTACTGGCTACAGAATAAATTTCAAATTCTTTAGAATGACAAAAATTGATCCAACCTATTTTTTTCCTGATTTATCTCTTATTTCATTCTGTTTTTATTCACATTGCATTTTTCTCTTTATATTTTAAAACTGTGGTGAAACACATATAATGGAAAGTTTACCATCTCAACCTTTCTAAGTGTACAGTTCAGTGACATTAAGAACAGTCACATAGTTGTGTCAGTTTCATTGGATTTTAAATCATTAGTAACTTCTCTAATACTTCTAGCACTTTATTGCCTGGGTCACACCTATATTTATATGGTTTCTGCTGGTCTCCTGGAATGCCTTTCCTTTTCCTTAACAATTAAGATCCTAATATCATGAAAGGCTAGTGCTCAGATCCTACCTTTTCCTTTAGGCTCTTTTGAAACCTTATCTGGGAACAGGAGGTCAGGTCTGTTGCTAGGTAACACATTGCTTACAGGAAAAAACACTTCTCCTGGGCACATTACCTCTGGACTATAAGATTTATAGGTGGACCTTAAATATATAATGGGGATGGGATACTTGTCCTTATGCAGGTTCCTTGCAGGGACATTGGATACTAAGTTACAGAATTATTACAGGAGATACCACTGCTTCTGGGGCATAAAGCTTATAAGCCAGGGACATTCCTACACCTATCAATATGGCTCTAGTCTTTTTGACTCTGCAATAATACTTGGAGGTTAAGGACTGATGTTTCTATTGGAATTGGAATTCTTTTGCAGGAAAATTCTGAAGCTGCCATGCTGGCCAGCAAGCTCTCTTGTATTACAGCCTTCCAGGTAAATCTAAGCCAGTGTGACTCAGTATCCTCATGCAATGGGAAGTTGGACCTAAAAAAGTCTTTGGTTGTGAGCTGCATCTTTATGTGGAAATATCACACTCAAATAATAACACCCCTTACATGGCTGGCTTTAAAATCACTGGAAACCATGCACCGGGCTGCAGTTATACAGCATTTTCCTACCTTTGGAAGGAGCTGGATGGCCTGTAGAATTCTCTGTCTATGCCCAGAATTAAGGATTCCAATTTCCAACAAATCCTGATCTTCCATAACATTGCTTCCCTGAAACAAAAGCAGAAATGTTACAATTTAAATTAAGTACTTAGTCTGCAGGTAGATAAAGATGAATTCAATACAAGGAAAAATAACCAACAGATAATCTGATTTTTATAAATGAGTCATTCTTCCTAGAGGGTGAGGATAGAGTAGTCACCTGTGCTACTGACATGAAGGCTATTAGAAAGCTTTCCTACCTTCACAAATGTATCTCATGCCTTGTTATTTATGGTTGAATTAAATGCCCTGGAGATTCATTCATGTGACTGAAAACTCTTCCTGCAAAACTGCAAATGCTTCTAGGAAGAGTTGCCATTTAGGACTATCAGTGATGTGAATGGAGCCATTATTTAATTCTCCCTGAAAACAGATGTTGTGATGACAGAAAAATGAGTGTATATCAGGCAGAGTAAAAGTGAAATCAGCAATTAATTTAAAAATATTGAATGCCAGACGCCTGATCAAGATGTGAGGATAGAACAATGAATAAGATGCAGTACCCTGTCCATAGGTCCTTTATTCCTTTCAATCCAATGATAGAGATGGATTTACGGCTGTGGATGTGCTATGATGATGACACTTCTTTGGGATTCCAGAGGGGATCTAGGATATTTTTTTTTTTAATCTGAAGGGTGGTTAGAGTTAGCACCCAAAGGAGGAAGGACAAAGGGGAAATTAGTGTGCAATGACCTGTGTGAAAAAAAGAACACAGTATACTTGGAAGCATAATGTTCTGGGATAAGCAGAAGACGCCGCCAAAGGCAAGGATGCAAGGGAAGCAGAGTCTGGACCACCAGATACTGCATGCCAGGCTGAAGATGAGTTAGACTTCATCCTGACCGTCACAGGAAGCTGTGTTCCAAGTTAAAGGGGAAAAAAAGAGTTATATCATGAGCTTCTAAACTGGGAAAGATCACTTTGGTTTCTGTGGCTTAGTTCCTTTCCTATAAAATGACAAAATAGAGCCACATAATCTCCAAGAAAAGGATCAGTCCTGAAATTCTGATTTCAATGATTACTTTATATCTGTGATTAATAGTTAAACACAGAAATTGCTCATTTTATCCTAAACTTTTCACCTTTCAAAATTCATGAGCTAGAGTTTCTCTTTAAATTGAGGAGTCTACGAAGTCAAAGAATGCAGAGTGCTATTTTTCTGGATAAACCAAACTTATTAATATGCAAAACAAAATCACCTATGAACAGAAATGACAGAATGCCTGTTTATGGAGAGTGAGTGGTACTGAAGTACACTCGAAGCAGAGAGAATGAACCAGAAAGGGCAATCCTAGAGCCTGGAGACCATGCAGAGACCACTGTGGTTGTTGCAGAGATGTTGAGTGCTTAGAGTGAGGAAGTGGTCTTGGGAAGCAGAAAGAAGTGGGTGGATTTGAAAATTATCAAGAGGTTTGACTTAGAGATGGAATGTGTGGAATGATGGAGAAGGGCAGAATAGACAAGTGTCTCCAGGCTTGGCAGTGGGTACATCTGGATGCCTATTTTTTAGATAACACAGGAAAATGGAGGAGGAGCAGCCAGCCTACCATGGTACAAATTGAGACCAATGCCTTTCCCTGGATGGGGACAGAATAGTTGGATATAAACAATTTAATATCAGATTACCCTGTAAATGGATAATTGACTGTTCTTAGAAGGATTAACATCATTAGAATGATACCATGGCTAGGGATTTAGAACTGGCGATCACTGCACAGAAACATTCCACCCACTCACAGTATCATTCCTGTGCCTAAGCCACCCGGGCAGTCTCAGAGGAAGCAGCACGAATCAGGTACATAGCTGCATGACAATGAAAAGCCTAATGAAAAACAAATAAAGCCCTGTTGGCAATATGCCACAAGAAACATTGCTCTCAAGAAATTACTCAGTGCATACAACAGAGCATGGCTAAGAATATAAATTATTTCTTTTGGGGAAAATGTTATTGTTTTCAGAAATGGACTAGTGCAGCATGAGCAGGATATGTGATAACATTCTGACTTTGACTCTTCCAAGCATCTTCCGAAGGAGTTATGCAGCCCTTCAAAAATATTTGGTCATCTGTTGGTTTGGATGTAACAACTAGATTTTCCATTACACTCAATTATCAGCCCACATCTCCAGCTCATGTAAAATACAGGGCCTGGTTACTTTGTACAAGCCAAAACATTCCAGGGTTTGTTGATGCAGGAACTACCTACCATCTATAGGTAATGTGGAAAACTAGAGTTTAGCGCTTGAATACTGAAATGACAGGAACAACCAAATCCTTAAAGACCACAGCTCTTCCTGTATGCCACCAGGATACTATCCTGTCTATCTGAAGGAAGGAAGGATGCTTTTTGAATTGTAGGAAGGAAGTGGAGCATATTTAAAGAAGCAGATATTAAGTACATAAAATTTTTCTCTTTAGGTCAGACTTACTAGTGTGTAGGATAATTACCAAAATTTTGAAAAATGAGTGACAATTATGGGAAGCATAATGTAAATTGTGAGAATGTGCTCAAGGGAAAAAGTATTAATTGGATAATGTACAGAAGAGTATTCATGGTTGCCAAGGATGCGTGCTGGGAGAAATTCTCTATTTTCTCTCTTTCTGTTATGAACAGGAAGACCAAAAAATATCATGATATGCCATTCAGTCAGTCTTTTGTCCAAAGAACAGGGGACTAGGAATCCAAAGACCTGGGTCTGGATCATGGCAGGGTCATCTTGGGTAAGTCAGATATATTCTTTCTAGGCTTCATGGTCCTTACTCCTAAAATTTAATGAATATGTATTCAGTTAAAAATGCCGTGATTTAAGTTATATTTGACTTTTGATTAGTATAATTGTATATAATTATAGATCATATATTTTGAGATTACATTTCAGTGTTTTGGAATTTGTAACCTAAAGTTAGCTTTAAGAAGTGATTATAGGGAAGTTCAAGAATGCATTTTTTTTTTTACAAATCAATCTCGATATTATGAACTTACACAATTTCTCAGAAATGAAATTACATGCATTGTATGTATTATGGATTCTTATGGCTTTTCAAAGGAAAAATCATATGTTTCAAACCTTGTAACTTTCTCAGCATTGCTTTGGTCCTTGGGTAACTGCCACACCATCAAAGGTACCATCAAGGGTGCATTCCCCTTCTTCCCAGGGAGCTGCAATTTATTTTCACCTCATTACTTGCCTTTACTAAATGTTAGAGAAACTCATCTTAACTCATTTTTCTCTACATCCTCTACCCATTTCTCACAAAATGGTCAAATCACTGGTTTTTGGAGCACAGTTCCATTATGTCCATCTGTTGCTTAACCAACTACCCACATCAGTGTACTCTCCACCTTCTCACCTCCCTGGTACACTCACATCTCCCAATTTACTCAACTCACCACAATAAGCTTTTTTTTTCTTTTTAAAGATTTATTTGTTTTATTTGAAAGGCAGAGTTACAGAGAGGCTAGGGGAGGCGGGGGAGAGTGAGTGAGTGTCTTCCATCTGCTGGTTCACTCCCCAGTTGGCCGTAATGGCCAGAGCTGTGCCAATCTGAAGCCAGGAGCCAGGAGATTCTTCTGGGTCTCCCACATGGGTGCAGGGGCCCAAGGATTTGGGTCATCTTCTACTGCCTTCCCAAGCAATAGTAGAGAGCAGGACTGGAAGTGGAGCAGCTAGGACTTGAACTGGCACCCATATGGGATGCCAGCATTGCAGGCAGCAGCTTTACCAACTATGCCACAGTGCTGGCCCCTACAAGAAGCTTTTACCCTACATTGACTCAACAGAATTTCCTTGTCAAATGATAAGCATGACCTTCCAATTGACAAATTTAGTGGATTCTTTTAAATCCCGATTTCAAGTATTCATTGGTTACACATAGCTGATGACAGTCCAATTGGGCAACACAGATACAGAACATTTCTATCACTGTATAAAGTTCCAATAGACAGTAGCATTACAGACAATGAAACAGTAGTGAAATCATGTAGATGCGGCAAAAATGGGATAGTGAAAAGAAATCAAAACCAGGAGTCAAAAGTACATTCTTAGATATAATTAGTCATGTATGTTTTAGGATCTTTAGCAAATTCTAACTTTTCAGTCATCTAAACAAATTGGAAGCTTGTTCTACTTTCACTAGTGGTTATTATGGGGCTAGACATCCATGCTATGAAACGACAAGTCTAATTGATATATTATTTTCTTGGCAACCTGCCAGGTACCAAGGTGTTCAGGGAATAATAATCAATATAAAAAGTTGTTTAGTTACTGACTCACTAGAATGATCAAAGGCTCAAGGTGGCATTTTTAGAACAGCTATTCCTTTTTTTTTTTTCTTTTTTTTTTTTTGGACAGGCAGAGTGGACAGTGAGCGAGAGAGTGACAGAGCGAAAGGCCTTCCTTTTTCCCTTGGTTCACCACCCACAGTGGCCGCTGCCAGGAGCCAGGTGCTTCTCCTGGTCTCCCATGTGGGTGCAGGGCCCAAGGACCTGGGCCATCCTCCACTGCACTCCCGGGCCACAGCAGAGAGCTGGACTGGAAGAGGGGCAACCGGGACAGAATCCGGCGCCCCAACCGGGACTAGAACCGGTGTGCCAGTGCTGCAGGCTGAGGAGTAGCCTATAGAGCTGCAGCGCCGGCCAGAACAGCTATTCCTTAACATACAAGGCATGTCTGATCCTGGGGGTCTTTGTTGCTTTATAAAATTATAGAATGGGGCCATTGCTATGGCTCACTTGGTTAATCCTCCACCTGAGGTGCTGGCAACCCATATGTGTGCCGGGTTCTAGTCCCGGTTGCTCCTCTTCCAGTCCAGCTCTCTGCTGTAGACCAGGAAGGCAGTGAAGGATGGCCCAAGTGCCTGGGTCCCTGCACCCGCATGGGAGACCAGGAGGAGGCACCTGGCTCCTGGCTTCCGCTCAGCGCAGCTCCAGCTATATCGGCCACTGGGGAGTGAACCAACGGAAGGAAGACCTTTCTTTCTGTCTCTCTCTCTCATTGTCTGTAACTCTACC